CGCGGTTTTCCTGTATGGAATTCTCACTAAATTACCAGTTTATTCTGCACTTAATGGGTCGATATGTAATTTGAACTGCATCCTGAGCACTATTTTGAACGGATCACGGCCTTCTTGCGTAGTGCTCGTTTGGTCTCACGGCACATGACTTATTCGCGTGCTACACAATTTTGTTTCTTTAGGTAAAAAACCTATCTGTGTCATCTTGTATAATGAATCATTTAATTTAGAACCAAAAGCTTCCTGCATTCGTGCTGCTTTCTGGATATCTTGGATCCCGGTTACTTTCGCACTCTGGCGTAACTTAATTTAGCGAAAGCCCAGATATACAATAAGCAAACAAATACAGAGAAGCTTTTGTCTATACAATAAAGAATTTCCTATTGGCCCTTCTGTAAAATACGACGCCGACGGATTTGATAAGAAAACGAAACTGCGTAGCTCGCGAAGCTCGCGAAGCTCGCGAAGCTCTCAAGCGTGGTGGGACCAAACAAGGTTTAAGGAAAATCGTAGTGTTTGACTCAAACAACCGACCTAAACATGCCGTTAAATATGCTGCACCAATCGCCTACGTGTACAATGAAATGTCAATTGTAGCTAGAACTTTACATGGGCAAACCTGGGAAATCATTAGACAGCTGCAGATGTAGTGTAGTACTAGACTCTGTGACTATTTTCGGCGATAACTAGTAAGAACCACTCTGGATATGAACGTTTATTGTGATATTCGGAAGGAACCGAAAGCAGACCTGCAGGAGCCAAGAGCAGGAAACGGAAGGTTGACAGATGGCGCAAGCATTGAAATAAATGGAAGTTCGGCTGGCACACAGAATAATAAAGTCGGGTGTTATAAAATTCTGAGATTGAAAGCGTATTTCCTGAACCAAATACATCCATAGTTTTAGACAACTGCGCTTCCTAGGTGGAACTCCTCTTTTGGGATTTCTTTTTCCTACCAGACACAGTGAAAGGAAACCTTTCTGCAGAGCTTTAATTTACATGCGCCAATGGTATAATTAGGGACGGCTTTAGAACTATCATCGCTTAATAGTTATATCCCATACTTGCGTGGACTTCGTGACTTTTAGGAAGTATATAAGTAAATACATTATGCTTCCTTCCACAAGCTTCAACGCACATCACTGCGTGCAAGATCGTGATCTTCGCTTGAAACCTTTATGTCGGAATAATCGGGAATCAGTGATGCTGTTGGAAACTTGACATATTATGTGAAAATATATGTTGTAGGTTTACTACCAGTTCCAAAATCCACCCGGAGCAATGTGCGTTTGTTTTTGAAACAGTTGAAAGGAAGCAGGCGCTAAGATGAACAGTTACAGAGAAAATATTGACGAAAATAAAAGCAGAAGTTTTCTGAGGAAATTTGTTCAATTGGTCGGTTCTTTATCTGAAGATATTGTTCTCTGGTCATGTTAGTGTTACTTGTAAAGAAGTTTGAGTAACCTGCATCAAGAGGAAATAGTAAATTGAGGAGCTGCGTTCGCTAAATTATTTGACTAGCCGGAGGTCAATCGGCTTGATTCATACATATATTGTTGTATAAAAAATATCCTAACTTTGCATGACTATATTTTTATTTGGTTTCTCTACTTCTGGCTCAGGTTACCCGTAAGATCAGCTGTTGCGATTTGGTCCCAAGCCCATGGGCGTGCTTTTTCGATATATAAAGGGAAAATGAAGGTCTGCAGCTAGAAAACTTAGTTTAGAAAGTTATGAAATTAGTGCATTACAGGCCATTGATCAGGTTCTGAATAATCTCAGTACTTGAAAAGACTTACAGCAAGCACTCATATCTGTACCTAAATCGAGGTTTTCCGGGTAAGATGAAGTTGCTTATGCTTTGTTAGACAGCATGAAATTGAATGGCATACTTTTCAACCATAGACATTGGACGCAAAGGTCAGCGATATTGCACGTTCTGTTTTCATGTAGAGCGAGGAAACGATTCAGGTGGGAACTACACGATTAGTTCTGGTAGATCACGGCAACTTGTGTAAAACTGGAAAAAAGAGACTGAAAGCAATGCATCTGCTATGCGAGTAAAAGTGGAACGCTTTTTAATTTCTTGATGTCCGGTTGTTCTAAATAAAGTGACTTATCGACTATTTTTGCCAAATAGTATATGTTGGACAAGTCCCGCAGGAAGCGTGGAGGGCAAAGTTAAAATCACAAAAGCACTGGATTAGAAATCGTCCATTTAAACATCTAACGATTTAACTGCACTGCTGCATGACGATAGTGTTAATTGGGATTGGAATGTGCACGTACAAAACAGTATGGAGAGCAGTTTTAGTTCACGTGTTCCGTGAGATCGAACACACGGAAATGAAAACGCTCACTCGAGTGCCGCTTTATTTGACCGATGTGATAAGTTAAACCAGTTTGGGTACATCCAAGCTATTCACAAGGATACCTATGCATATATCTTCACTGCCACGTGGCGGAGATGGTTTCTAAGCACATACTTTGGTTCGCGTTGTTTCATCCTCCAAATGAAGCGGACTATATCAAGTAAAGCAATTAGGAAAGTGAGTTCAGAGAGGTTTGAAAACAATCGGTTTTGTATAGTAATTTGGTAACGTTTCGCCTCTAACATAGAGGCTTCATCAGACCAGGTGAATCAGTGTGCAATTGGTGTGGGATTTTATAGCGAACAGGGGCGACAACCGCTTTACCCGAGTCTTGAGCCATGAGTCATTACAGGAACAGTTCGGGATGTCACCTCAGGTGGTTCGATCACAGTGGGAATAGTCCAGGTGTTCCTTTGTGTGTCATGACATTCACGGATAAGCCCGTAGTGTTGGCAATGGGAGTCGGTTTGCACTTTTCAATCTGATCCACGCATCGATGCTCGTCAAGCTGGTCGGCTTAAGACCGCCCGCCACGCATTAGGGATTTCTACCCCCTCCATTCTATTCACGCAGTCGTCAGATTTGGCAATTTCCACCGCCTCGGCAATCAGCCGCTGAGTGGTTGATCGGATACCCTTCCCAATGACCTCTACGTTTTCGAGGTCTATCTGGTGACCCGTGCCTAATGCATGCACAGCTACGGCCGAGTCTCTTATTATTGCTTGATATTCAAACTCGTTTCTTGGTAGTCTTGCAATGCGTCTCCTATGCTCAGAAATTCGTGTGCGTAATTCTCTCGCTGTTTGGCCTATGTACACATGTGCACAGTCCTTACATTTAATTTTATAAACACAGTTAGTCGTCCTATCCTTGGGAAGCGGGTCCTTCAGGTGTACCAGCGCCGAACGTAACGTTCGACCTCGGTGAAAGATCACCCTTATATTTTCCTTGTTTAATACCCTCCGAATTGCCTCCGAAGTGCCTTCCTTGTACGGAATTCCGACCGTCCCTATCCACTCGGCTGGGGGTCTTGACTGCCGGTGTAGCACTTTATGTAATTGGCGTTTAACTAGCCGTCTTGGGTAACCACTTTCTAATAGTTTGCCCATTGCCACTTTCCGCGCAGCCTTTTTGTCCTCCTCCATTGTGCACAAGGTTTGTGCCCTGTAGAAAAGCGCTGAGGCTATCCCAGCGTAAACCTGTTTCGGATGACCCGAGGTGTAGTGGAGTACGCCATCAGTATCCGTTGGCTTGCGATATATTGTCGTCTTTAAATTTCCCCCATTCCTGTGAACCAGGCAGTCAAGAAACGGTATTGTGCCGCTACAAGATTCTAACTCAATAGTAAACTGTATTCTCTCATCAATGGAGTTTAAGTGATCAAGTAACTCGTCCTTCTTATCCCAATTAACAAGTAAAAAGGTGTAGTCTACATAACGCCACCAAACTTTGGGTGAGTTAATGTTGTTTGTTAACGCCCTGTTCTCGAATTCTTCCATATACAGGTTCGCCAGTACCGGGGATATTGGCGATCCCATGGCGAGACCTTGTTCCTGACTGTAAAGCTTTGACTGAAAAACGAAGTAAGACATGTTAAGACACACTGTCATACCCTCGATTATCTGGCTAACTGTTAGTTTCGTCCGATCATTCAGAGTGACATCTTCATTCAGACGACGTCTCGCTATTCCTAGCGCCTCCTCTTTAGGTACATTTGTGAAAAGTGATGTGACATCAAAGCTGACCATTAACTCATCTGACTCAATTTGGAGATTTGCTATCTTTTGAGCGAAATCATAAGAGTTTTTTCACGAATGTACTCGTTCGCCCTGTTAGAGGCTGCAATAGCCTTGCCAAATGTCTCGCAAGTTCATGGGTCGGAGAGCCTATACCGTCGACTATGGGCCGTACGGGAACTTCGGGCTTGTGAACTTTTGGCAAGCCATAAATCCTCGGAGGTATAGTCGATTTTGGGTATAGACTGTACCACTTGCCTACCCCTAAATCGTCCTTCACGGTTCTTAAATAGTTACCAACCTCCGTTTTACTCTTATTCATTACTGACGCCACGGTCTTATCAACAACTACTCTATATGGACCCGTCTCCAAATGTTGTCCCAATTTTTCCAAGTATTCTGACCTATTCATTACAACTAGGGTTTTTCCCTTGTCAGCCTTTGTAAGTACAATACTGCGATCTTCCTATAGGGAATTTAATGCTATACGTTCAGTTTTCGGAAGATTTGGCTCACCCGGTTGCTGAAACTTAATGATATTTACTAACCTGTGCCCGAATATTCTCTGCCTTCGTAGCGGGCAACTTTGTCACCGCGCTCTCAATGCTTGGGATAATCTCTTCCGCATATATCTTAGATTTATTAATGGTATATGTCAAACCTTTCTCTAACAATCTACATTCCGTTACATTCAAAACCCTATCTGACATATTAACAACATTACAATATGTATTAATAGACCTAGAACTGTCAGTAGGACCGGTAGCACTAGGATGCACAGACATTAAACGCTCGAACTTACGCGTTTGTCTTTTCTTTGCATCCTGCCCTTGTTTCAATTTGACATCTGAAGCCTTGTTGAAAATGCGGTTGTAGTCCGAGAGGCCCCTCCATGCCGACTCCGACCCCTAACAGGCACGGGACCATAGTATTCTCTCCCCCGGTTCACAATTCCACCACCCCTACACCTCCCTCTCTCTTCGATTTCACGCTACAGCCACAGCAAACCGACGCTGTCCTCCCGTCCGGTCCTCACATGCCCCGACTAGTTACGCGTAAGTCGTCCCGCCCGTTCCTCCCTTCTGCCCCGCGTCCACCGTCACACCAGCCCGGCAGGCAACCGTTGTACTCTCAAAGTTCGAGCTATTGTGCGCCCAAGGCGCGGCGGGGGAGGCCGCGTTGCGGACAACAGCGCAAGGGCGTGCGGGGGCGGCGACTGAGGTGGACGTCACCTCCTCACCCATCCCGCCAGTAGCACTTACGCCTCCTTTGCGCCTCCCGACCGACCACCCGGTATCATTACCTTCGCCCCCTCCACCCCGTACACCACCGTCTCCACCTACGTCACCCCCGTTCTCTTCCTCGTTTTTTCCTCTTTTACGATCACGCGCTCCCCGCTGTGCCCCCGCTCCGTCTCCTTCTCCCTCCCGCTGCTCCGTGCGCCCCCAGGCGTTCCATCGCTCCACCCGCACTCCTAATTTCACGCTCTTAGCCGCTCTTTCTTGGCATTCGTGTCACATTCAGCCGCATCTCCTCATCTCCTCTCCACCCACCTAGCGTTAACCCTCACTCCCTCATACGCTCCTCCTTTTGCTCTCCTTCTCCGCTGCGCCACTTCCCCCCCCCCCACCACACATGCATCCTGCCCCATCCCGTTACATTCCCTTCCCCCCCCACATGCTGTCCTGTATGTCACCCCAATTCCACCTTGGTCGCCTCCTACGTTCGCGTCACCTCCTCTAGCCCGAAAGCTGCTTTCCCCGCATTTCCATCGCCAGTCCCGCCCCATACACCTGCCCATCTCGACTCCGCCCTTCCCGTCCGTTCCTGTTCACTCGCCCTTAACCACCACATCCGGCGCCACGCTCCCTCCTCTTCCCCCACTTCCCGGCAAGTTCCATCCCTAGCCGACCCCGCCACCTTCCGCGGGCCCCGCCCCCTCCCCTGCCCCTGCTGCTCTGTGCCTCCTGCTCTCCCCCTCCCGTGTCCTCACTTTTCCTCTTCCCCCCCCCCCCCCTTCCCGCTCTTTTATCTTCTTCCCGTCCCCCTTCGCTTCAGGCTTCCGTATCCCCTTTCAGCCCGCTCGTGCCATCGCGCCAGTTATGGCGTCTGTAGATCCAAGCTCAGCCGACTCGCATCAATGCGGATCTCGCTTAAACGTTTGGTCACAAGGTAAATCCGCTGTTTCAGAAACGCCTTGGAAGCATTAAAGGCAATCCTTGCAGAGGTATACGTACTGTCCGGAGGTTTCACTGTGAGACATTTGGGGATCAGATTAGTCTTAAGACATCTCATGTTGAAAACGCGATGGTTCTCCCAGTTCGCTTCAAGGCCCGCCAATCGAACGAATTCACTTGCCAGTTTTCGAACACGGGGTCCGTAATTGGTTTCAAATTCTTGGAAGATACTTGGAACCGATCGAGTAGTCATGAGTTCAGAGAGGTTTGAAAACAATCGGTTTTGTATAGTAATTTGGTAACGTTTCGCCTCTAACATAGAGGCTTCATCAGACCAGGTGAATCAGTGTGCAATTGGTGTGGGATTTTATAGCGAACAGGGGCGACAACCGCTTTACCCGAGTCTTGAGCCATGAGTCATTACAGGAACAGTTCGGGATGTCACCTCAGGTGGTTCGATCACAGTGGGAATAGTCCAGGTGTTCCTTTGTGTGTCATGACATTGACGGATAAGCCCGTAGTGTTGGCAATGGGAGTCGGTTTGCACTTTTCAATCTGATCCACGCATCGATGCTCGTCAAGCTGGTCGGCTTAAGACCGCCCGCCACGCATTAGGGATTTCTACCCCCTCCATTCTATTCACGCAGTCGTCAGATTTGGCAATTTCCACCGCCTCGGCAATCAGCCGCTGAGTGGTTGATCGGATACCCTTCCTAATGACCTCTACGTTTTCGAGGTCTATCTGGTGACCCGTGTCTAATGCATGCACAGCTACGGCCGAGTCTCTTATTATTGCTTGATATTCAAACTCGTTTCTTGGTAGTCTTGCAATGCGTCTCCTATGCTCAGAAATTCGTGTGCGTAATTCTCTCGCTGTTTGGCCTATGTACACATGTGCACAGTCCTTACATTTAATTTTATAAACACAGTTAGTCGTCCTATCCTTGGGAAGCGGGTCCTTCAGGTGTACCAGCGCCGAACGTAACGTTCGACCTCGGTGAAAGATCACCCTTATATTTTCCTTGTTTAATACCCTCCGAATTGCCTCCGAAGTGCCTTCCTTGTACGGAATTCCGACCGTCCCTATCCACTCGGCTGGGGGTCTTGACTGCCGGTGTAGCACTTTATGTAATTGGCGTTTAACTAGCTGTCTTGGGTAACCACTTTCTAATAGTTTGCCCATTGCCACTTTCCGCGCAGCCTTTTTGTCCTCCTCCATTGTGCACAAGGTTTGTGCCCTGTAGAAAAGCGCTGACGCTATCCCAGCGTAAACCTGTTTCGGATGACCCGAGGTGTAGTGGAGTACGCCATCAGTATCCGTTGGCTTGCGATATATTGTCGTCTTTAAATTTCCCCCATTCCTGTGAACCAGGCAGTCAAGAAACGGTATTGTGCCGCTACAAGATTCTAACTCAATAGTAAACTGTATTCTCTCATCAATGGAGTTTAAGTGATCAAGTAACTCGTCCTTCTTATCCCGTTTAACAAGTACAAAAGTGTCGTCTACATAACGCCACCAAACTTTGGGTGAGTTAATGTTGTTTGTTAACGCCCTGTTCTCGAATTCTTCCATATACAGGTTCGCCAGTACCGGGGATATTGGCGATCCCATGGCGAGACCTTGTTCCTGACTGTAAAGCTTTGACTGAAAAACGAAGTAAGACATGTTAAGACACACTGTCATACCCTCGATTATCTGGCTAACTGTTAGTTTCGTCCGATCATTCAGAGTGACATCTTCATTCAGACGACGTCTCGCTATTCCTAGCGCCACCTCTTTAGGTACATTTGTGAAAAGTGATGTGACATCAAAGCTGACCATTAACTCATCTGACTCAATTTGGAGATTTGCTATCTTTTGAGCGAAATCATAAGAGTTTTTCACGAATGTACTCGTTCGCCCTGTTAGAGGCTGCAATAGCCTTGCCAAATGTCTCGCAAGTTCATGGGTCGGAGAGCCTATACCGTCGACTATGGGCCGTACGGGAACTTCGGGCTTGTGAACTTTTGGCAAGCCATAAATCCTCGGAGGTATAGTCGATTTTGGGTATAGACTGTACCACTTGCCTACCCCTAAATCGTCCTTCACGGTTCTTAAATAGTTACCAACCTCCGTTTTACTCTTATTCATTACTGACGCTACGGTCTTATCAACAACTACTCTATATGGACCCGTCTCCAAATGTTGTCCCAATTTTTCCAAGTATTCTGACCTATTCATTACAACTAGGGTTTTTCCCTTGTCAGCCTTTGTAAGTACAATACTGTGATCTTCCTTTAGGGAATTTAATGCTATACGTTCAGTTTTCGGAAGATTTGGCTCACCCGGTTGCTGAAACTTAATGATATTTACTAACTGTGCCCGAATATTCTCTGCCTTCGTAGCGGGCAACTTTGTCACCGCGCTCTCAATGCTTGGGATAATCTCTTCCGCATATATCTTAGATTTATTAATGGTAAATGTCAAACCTTTCTCTAACAATCTACATTCCGTTACATTCAAAACCCTATCTGACATATTAACAACATTACAATATGTATTAATAGACCCAGAACTGTCAGTAGGACCGGTAGCACTAGGATGCACAGACATTAAACGCTCGAACTTACGCGTTTGTCTTTTCTTTGCATCCTGCCCTTGTTTCAATTTGACATCTGAAGCCTTGTTGAAAATTCGGTTGTAGTCGAGAGGCGTTATGGCGGTCTGTAGATCCAAGCTCAGCCGACTCGCATCAATGCGGATCTCGCTTAAACGTTTGGTCACAAGGTAAATCCGCTGTTTCAGAAACGCCTTGGAAGCATTAAAGGCAATCCTTGCAGAGGTATACGTACTGTCCGGAGGTTTCACTGTGAGACATTTGGGGATCAGATTAGTCTTAAGACATCTCATGTTGAAAACGCGATGGTTCTCCCAGTTCGCTTCAAGGCCCGCCAATCGAACGAATTCACTTGCCAGTTTTCGAACACGGGGTCCGTAATTGGTTTCAAATTCTTGGAAGATACTTGGAACCGATCAAGTAGTCATGAGTTCAGAGAGGTTTGAAAACAATCGGTTTTGTATAGTAATTTGGTAACGTTTCGCCTCTAACATAGAGGCTTCATCAGACCAGGTGAATCAGTGTGCAATTGGTGTGGGATTTTATAGCGAACAGGGGCGACAACCGCTTTACCCGAGTCTTGAGCCATGAGTCATTACAGGAACAGTTCGGGATGTCACCTCAGGTGGTTCGATCACAGTGGGAATAGTCCAGGTGTTCCTTTGTGTGTCATGACATTGACGGATAAGCCCGTAGTGTTGGCAATGGGAGTCGGTTTGCACTTTTCAATCTGATCCACGCATCGATGCTCGTCAAGCTGGTCGGCTTAAGACCGCCCGCCACGCATTAGGGATTTCTACCCCCTCCATTCTATTCACGCAGTCGTCAGATTTGGCAATTTCCACCGCCTCGGCAATCAGCCGCTGAGTGGTTGATCGGATACCCTTCCTAATGACCTCTACGTTTTCGAGGTCTATCTGGTGACCCGTGTCTAATGCATGCACAGCTACGGCCGAGTCTCTTATTATTGCTTGATATTCAAACTCGTTTCTTGGTTAGGTTGAGTTTATGTCTCGCGCCTTGCATGGGGTTTTAAAAAGCCAATGGTGCGGCTACGGCATGTTTTGTGGCATCAGAACTGCAGCTATTTGTGTTATACTTAATAACCTATCAAGAGAAATATATACTAAACTTGGACTCTATACCCTTTTGGTTTCCAGAACCGTTGTCCACATGACTGTAGTAAAAAGAAACTTAGATATGTTGTGGCATGACCTTTGGAAGCTATACAGCGAAGGAAAGCTGTTCAACTTATTGTGCCTTAGATAAAGGGTTTTGAAATTTCTTTTCATAATTTTAGAACATTTATGTCACTCCTATTGGCCCATAGATTGCAGGGCATAAACAGACCACACCTTTGTAGTTGAGCTCCACTGTGTACGGTCTGCAGTCAGAGAAAATTTAAGCAGCTTTAGTTAAATGCCGAAATACTCGATCGATTAGGTTGCCGATGTACTTGGCTTTCGCTTTTAGAAAACAAGAAAAGCATGGCATTCCGACTGTAGGAAGAGATTAAATGGTATCTTAGAAAACCTTGGGTGTCTTCATGCCACACTCAAGTATGTTGAAGGAGAGCGGTGCCGGTGTCAATATTTTCTGCATTGCTTGCTCACAACTGCGTAGACTGAGAACAGTTGCAGGGTTGTCGTTTGATTTTTAAATCATTTCCATAAGTGAATAAATGGATTCAAGGTCGACCCTTCAGCTTGTTAGTCAATCTCAAACTGTGATGATGAGTTTGTGATTGATACTGACTATCCCACACAGTTAGCTCTAGACACGTGTCCTCTCCCTAGCTACGTTCGCATAAACCAGATTGTGAGATACGTGATGATTAAAAGGTGTGGCTTTATTTACACTGAAAGCTGGCTGTCATGACTTCTTCGTGGTCGTAAACCTACCTGAAGCGATGAGCTTCGAAAGCAAAATGACGCTTTGTCCTCACGTATAGCTGAGCAATTTTGCCTATATTTAGTCGATAATCTACACTAATTCTGCGCTTCAAAAGCATTGCGTCACTTTGTCCTTAATTAAGATTGACTGAAATAACTACTTTCTTGGCGTACGCATATCTAAAAGATATACTTCAGACGCAATGTAGCGCTGTTTCCTGATGACTAGCAGGCTTGCTGC